ACGATGTTACCATGTTAGTTATGCTGGACTTATCAGCTGCATTCGATACAATCGACCACATTACACTTCTACAGCGCCTTTACACCAACTTTGGCATTTCTGGAAAACCGTTAGAATGGATACGTTCATATCTAAGTGATCGACACCAGACTGTAACAATAAATGGTGAACTGTCAAACCCTGTCAAATTGAGCTACAGTGTGCCTCAAGGATCCGTTCTGGGACCAAAACATAAAACCATCAAATAGTGTAAGAAATCTTTGTGCTGTATTGGACAACAACATTACCCTGGAAAAGCACATTAACTCAGTTTGTAGATCTTGTTATGGACAACTACGCCAGATTGGTCATATAAGGAAATACCTGAATACTGATGCATCAAAATCTTTAGTGAATTCTTTAGTCACCTCACGCATGGATTATTGTAATGCACTTTTATATGGTGTACCTAAAACGACATTGAATAAACTACAACATCTTCAAAACACTGCTGCCCGCATCATCACAGGAACATCCAGATTTGAACATATCACTCCAGTATTGAAGAAACTACACTGGATTCCTGTGGTTTACCGAGTAGATTTTAAAATCCTTATGCAAACTTATAAAGCCCTACATGACAAGTCACCAATTTACCTTAAACATTTACTGGCGCTATATCAACCAACAAGAAACTTAAGATCAAAGAACTCTTGAAAGCAACTTGTTGTTGCCAAAAGTAGGAATGTAAGATATGGTGAACGCAGTTTCTCTTCGGTGGCACCTAAACTGTGGAATGCTCTCCCAGATAGTATCAGAGACTCAAAACAGTAGATGTTTTTAAGAAATCTTTAAAAACACATTTTTTCCAGAAAATTTATAGTAACTAACTGTGCTGTATTTGTCATCACTGTGAATTGGCGTGTTGTCTTTTGTTATGAGATATCTGGGTACACATTTGAAATATAATAGTCTATTTTTGAATCACATTTCAATTTGTATTGTTTACTGTTTTTATCAAATTGGATTTAGATTTCAGTTGTCTTATCTTGATTTGTATTTTTTTAAATCTTAATAGTTTTAACGTTTCTCTTTATATTTTTTTTCCAAGTCTTAGATTATTCTTCATGTACATTTTTTTTTATTTGATCGACTGAGTTTTATATATTTTCGATCCTTGAAGATCGTTCAGCACGACATTATTGTTGTGCTTGTGGTATTTTTAGTTTCAACTTTTTGGCACTTTCTAGTTGGGTGGTTCCAATATTCCTACTTGAATAATGTTGAATCACCCTTAGGATATGTTGCCTGCTTTTTAAATTTGTCTTTTGACGTCCTATCTGTGATACACAGGCTTCATAACCTCAGATCCCCTTTCAAAATTCCATTTTATTTAGTTCCGCCCATTGTTTTCTCGTTTAGGGCACACGCATTTTTTTACTTGGGGACCATATGCCGCTTTTCATTGAATGGCACTACCGTGTCACATTGAAGGTTCCATGATAACCGCCATATGAACACATCTGCGGATGTTTCAAAATTCTAAATTTTACCAGTTCATGTTAAATGTTGAATTCTGCTTAAGCCGGTGCTAGGGGGCGTGGACGGTAACTTGCACTCTCCAGTACCGTCCATGAACAGGCTCAATCAAACCGAGCCTGCAACATTTTCAATTTTGCCGTGTTGGGCTTTCTTTAGGGATTCTGTATTTATCTGTTTTTAGACTTTTAGATTAATCATGTTATATTTAATATTTTGTAAATGTATACATATATGTGTGTTATTATTTTTATTACTTATTTTTGTTTTTAAAGTCATTGTAAATGTATATAATTCCATTGTAAAGCGCCTTTGAACATTTTATTTTTTGAGAAGGGCGCTATAAAAATGTGGTAATTATTATTATTAAATAGGCCTACCATTTTATGAATAATTCCGAGCGAAAAATAAATAATGTAAACACACACGTTTACGCAGAAAATATCTCTATTTATTATGGCAGATGCCCCTACGAATATTTTAATTTTATAAATGTTAAGTATGAACAATTTATTGTTTGTAAAATTTGTGATAGATATTAAAGAAACATTGATAATTTTCAAACACATCATTCAAGTTTTTCCACCTTAAACGGTAAAATAATTATAAAAAAAATGGGAAATATCACGTAATAGTTTTTTGTTCTTAATAAGTTTCGGACTAGTTCCCTACAGGTAAATACGTAACGTACCGGCAAACGGTATTTAGCTAGGTTTTCGGAAAGGTCAATTAACCAATCATGTAAGGTTTACAGATCACATGCTCCTCCATGTACCAAAACAGGTCACGTGCTCCTCCATGCCTCAAAAGTTAAACGCGTACCAATACCCTGCGGTCTCCAGACCGCAGGGAATGACATACAGATATATTCTTGTTATGTAAATTTTTAAGCTTGCGCAAGGTAATTTTTTATTTTCTTGTTGTTTTAATTAGTAAATTTTTGTTATTTCAGAATATCGTAATTCAGTTAACTTTTTATTACATATTCGTTTTATTGAAATTTTATTTTGCATTTTGACAGTCTTTTTTCTGTCTCTAATTTTTCGTCTTCTGTAGATTTATGACTCTAGTGTTTTTCTTTCATAACTTTAATATTGGTAATCTGTTTATTATCATTGATAGTTGTTGTATGTATGGTAGGCCTTGAGTGCACGTTATTTTATCATGCATATGTTTCATGTATATTTACTAAACTAAGTTTTCATGTTATTGTTAAATACAGTAAGTCATTTATAATTAAGTCTGCTGCAGATGTTCTTTTTTATATAATTCTTATTTATATAAGTAATTTTCATATTACTACATCATCATTATTTTTTTTGTACGAAATAATATTGGCTTCGATTCAAGAAAAGATTCCGTCGATATTTAGGTGGCCTCCGGTCTTGCTTCATGTTTTATATATAGCAACATGCTACGATATATATTCAACGTTGAATTTATTATACCAGTGTGTATGGCGTTCCATAAGGGACATTATATTTTTAGAAGCTTTGTTTATAGGAATCCGACAAAGGTCCGGCTATTCCAAAGGGACATACTTATACCCTTATATTTGTGTACCATGGATATTTACCATGTTTTATATTTTGTAGCTTCTACTCGGAGGATTCACCCTCAATTTTGAATCACGCATGTGTTCAACATAGCGACGATAGTGGAGATTGTGACGTAGCGACGCAGTCTTGGATCTACACTCTGTAGACAGTACAGAATCGATCTTTCTGCTTTGGATGGGTTACATCTCGAGCATAAGTGAATATTTGTTGTAAGTTAAGCCACCGGGGAAAAAGTGCTTTTCGACAGGACATTAGAAACGTGACACGGAACTTTTCCTTCTTTATTTTCTTTCATTCATTCATATCATTTACTTTCATTATAAATAATCAATTTTTTCCAAATAAAATGTAAAATAGTTTGTACTGAGTTGTGCTTTGTTTTGTATGGTAGTTGTGATCAGCCTGTGTTCCATCGTAGTCCATATTGTGACACCACTTTTGTGACTAGGCAACAATACTTGCAAAATATGTAGGATCTTGACATCGTACAACTTTCAACGATTTCAATAAATATCAATGTCTAATTTCAAAGTTATTAAAGCATATGCACCTAAAATCCTAATATTTTAATATATATGTGCAGGAAATTAAAAGTTGGTAACACTTATAAATAGGGAGGTAATATCTTACTAAATAAATACTCTGTGGAATTGTTATGCATAAACTTATATCAGTTTTTTTTCCAATGAGACAGTGTGACATTTATATTGACTCGAGAATACGTGACCCTACGACTTTCATATCCCCTTAGCAAAATAGTTTTCATTTTCTTTAATCAATGATACGGTTATATAAACCGGTGTTATGAGATATAACATTTTAAATGTCTTTATCAATTACTTCTATTCTACACAAAATGATTTGTAAAAGTATAGAACACTTGAATTCAAATATGAAATACATAGGTCGATAGATAAATAAGAATTATCAGAAATGTAAAAATATCTTTAGCACTAGTGACCTTTACCTTGATTTTGAGGATCACCGTAGATAAGATGTAATGAAACAAAAAAAAACCTTCCTTATCAGTTTATAAATTAAGGACATGATCTCAGTGAAAAATGGATATACAGGTCCATTAATAAAGACTGTTCACTTGACAAGTAAATGAATTTATCACTAAATATATTGCTATAGACCCGGGCAATCCCTTATATTAATAAATATAGTTAGAAGGTAAGCTATCAAATGTTAATGACAGCATTAACGACATAAAGGTTTTGCAAACATAATTATTTTAAAAAACAATTTTACCGATAATCTTGACCGCATTGAATCGTAACTCTAACTAAACGTAAAAAACCTGCCATGTTATATGAACTAAATGTAGACATTGGTCAAACAGTAAAACTTATATGAGCATGAATGCCTATAAAACAGTTTGTCCTCGGCTTGGAACTATGTTAATCCATACTCCGCCCTATGATAAAGCACCACCGACGGTAAGTTTCAAAGACATATTAATGGCATTGATCGATGAAAAAAGCTGAGTCAGCAAAAGTGTAAAGGACTATTAATTCTAAACAAAGAATTTCAAAAATTGTAAAAATACATCAGTCAGTAGATAAACAGTGTAAAAATAAATATGTTATGTGTACAACAGCAGGTGTCACAAGCTGTGTTGCCGCTGTAATAAATGCCCCATCCTTCACTTAAGTGCTATTACATTTTTTTCTAGCTCATTGATAGCACATTTTAAGTGTTTAAAATTGTGTACCGATCAAACCGGTGCTAAGAGGTGTGAGTGATGTTGCATTGTTTTTTTCATTTTCCCTCACATTCAGACTCAACTTTTGGTTATTTTGTGGTGACTTTTGCTTCCGAGGGATCACACTTTGTACAGATTCTTTTACTCAAAGATTTAAAAATCTGAAAATTAATTTAATTTCAATGAGAATTTTTTGTATAATATATTGTACTTACCTTTTGGAGGAACCAATTCGGATTTTACAACGTAATGATCGATGTTTAAACTGTCTGTAGCATCAGATCCTGAAAAATAATTGTTGATGTAGAAATCAATGGCTAGTTGGTTTGTAATGTTAAAACTTTTCAAAACAAAGTAGGAAATGTTAAATATTTTGTCAAACTGCAAATAAAGCCATATTCCGGACAGCGGATATATATATATATATATATATATATATATATATATATATATATATATATATATATATATATATTATATATGTATATATTAATATATATATATATTATATATATATATATATATATGAATATATATATATATATATAATATATATATATATATATATATATATATATATATATATATATATATATATCACGATTGGCCATTCTGTTTCGGTTTCTACCTGATCAATTTTATAACCAGTTTATGCCAAAAGAACTCCGAACTCTCATCAGTCTTAAATAAATTGCAACTATTACATGATGACTCTTTAACACAAAAAAAAGACAATTTTATTCATTTTTGTTTGGGAAGTGAATGTTTGTCCTAGCACTGGAGTTGTAAATAGAAAAACGGTACATGTTGAAAACTCATTCTGTCAACACGTGCGTAAAACATTTAAGTAGCAAAGGTAAGAATTAACTATTTCATGATTTAAAGATGTATAATGACTGTGTTCATTGAATGCCGTCATCCCTTGTTGATCTTGTTTTACATATTATCAAATTATAAGTATTTTTCAAACAAGTGTACGCTATTTGTTCGGTCATAACTATGTTGCATCGGATTTTCACAGTTTCAATCATTCAAATATTTTAGATAATTGTTAAATGTTCAGTAGTTGACATAAAAATGTCGTTTCAGAATTGGACGAAGTAGTTTGTAAGTTTAATTTAATCACACTGACAAAATATGTTTGAGGTAGAAAGCCAAGATAATCATAACATTATAACTTTTAGCAACTACCGTCAAAACTCTGAATAAATAATTAACCTGTTGTTTGTGAAGATTCTGCTTTTTGAATTCCTCTTCCTGCATGTTCTGAATTGATTTTCTCGCCTGTAAAAGATAATATGTTACCTTGTATTTAATTTTTTAGTTGTATGAATGTTCCTGTGAGAAAGAAAGGTGAATTATGGTTTACAACATCATTAACATTAAATGTTAGAATATTTTATTACCTTTTACGGTAATCGAATTGAGTTATACACGTGCACAAACTTTAGAAAGGATATATATTACCAGCGATTTTTTTGGTTAACAGGCTTTACAACAAACATTGCAGACAAGCTATGTTCTGGAGCTTCCAACTTTGAACTTTGTTTATTATTGCAGAATTGCAATTTGCCATTCTGTTTTGGTTTCTAACTTATCAATTTAATAACCACTTTATGCCAAAAGAACACACATAACTCGCTTCAGTTTTAAATCAATCGCAGCTCGATCATATGATGAGTCACTAAAATTTTCATTTTGACACGAAAATAGACAATTAAATTCATTTTGATTAGGGTAGTGAATGTTTGTCCTAGCACAAGAATTGTAAATAGAATAACGGTACATGTCTCAAACACATTCTTTCACCAATTTTTAGCAATCTACCGTCTAACTCAGAATAAATAATAAACCTGTTCTTTGTGAAGATTCTGCTTTGTGTTTTCCTCTTCCTGCACGTTCTGAATTGATTTTGCCCCCGGTAAAAGATAAAAAGTTATCTTGTACCTGCTTTTTTAGTTGTTTGAATATTCCTGTAAGAAAAAATATATATTACAAGTGCATATCTTGATTAACATGCTTTAAAACAAACATTGAGGAAGAACTAGGTTCTTGTGCTTTTAAGTTTAAGCTTAAAAAGATTGGCAATTAGCCCGTTCAGACATCGGTACCCCATTGTAAACCTAATTGGAATGTAATGTGACGCAGGTTTTAATGTACCTTGCGAGAGGAGCTGGCGTGGGGTTTTACATGTATTGTATTGCCACGGTGAAACTTTCAGTTTTGCGTGAGTAGGTTACAGTGTAGTATTATAAATTCAAATGTATTAACTGCTCGTTAATTTTAACACAAAATAAACCACGGCAATTACATCACCATGGTAAATGTTAATCATCGTTTTTATAATTGGCTGCTGAAGAAGTGTATATATGAAGTATTTTATTAATTAAATAAATACTGAACACATGTAAAAGGACATTTATTTCGTATTCGAAATTTTCGGAACCAATGAATAAAATGATAAAAAAGTCAAAACTATAATTTAAAGAAGAAGTTCGCTAAAGGATTTGCCAAGTGTAATCTAGTAGATATAGAATTTATTAGCCCATAAAATGTAAGGGCGTCCTTTCTTAATAACGAGAGACTGCTCACGGGATCAAATGAGAGTGATTGAAGTATTCGAATAACTCGTTTGACCCTAAACATGGACAGTCTGATGTGCATAAGTGCATAAGATTCTCGTAAAATTTCAGATTAAATAGCGGTGTCGTTGCAGATTTTTTTTTCCAGATTTTGTTGCATAAGTTCTAGCATGAAATATATTTGAAATAGATAATTATAATAAACAAAACATATATTTTTAGAAAGCGAGTGTGTATAATGAAAATGTAATAAATTTATTCACATACCGTATTCTTGTGGAGAATCTTGTACTTTTTCACCAAATCTTGTACGTCCAGTTTCTGAATTTTTAACACAAAAATATGTAAAGTATAATAGATTTTATGCACCGGAGGTAATTAAACTTTTTTAAAGAGACCTAAACTGTTGTACGAGTAACTTAAAAAAATGAGATAATTCTATTTTATTCAGATTCATGCTGCTGCTTGTATTCCACTTTCAGCATGTTCAGTTTGTGAAGTCACCTTGTCCCCTGCAAAAATAAGTAGTTGAGCTTGTTGAATAGTTTCTAACAGTTGTCCACGATCTAGTAAAAATGTGCATTATGTTGTTTTTTGTCAGCTTTTCATACAAAATTTTCAGAAATATCTCTCATTTGTAACGGAATTCGATTAACTTGATTTTAAGTTATTTTTAGATATACTTCCGCGTGCAAAATCTTCTTTGTGAAAGAGAAAAAAAATGGGGACAAAAATCTTATATATCGAAATACTATATTTCATAGCGGACGACTATGGTGGACGTCTAATTCTTTCTAAATATTCGATATATTTGTCATCGTGTCATTATTATCTAGAATTATCGGCGACGTTATTCCAGTGATGCTTCAAGAAAGAAAATATTATTTAGTTGATGATGTGACTTGTTAAGATCTGTTTTTATAAAAGTAATGCATTTTATTGTCATGATCAACTAAGTGCATAAATTGCTCGTAAAATTTAAAATTCCATTGGGGTGTCGTTACAGATGAATACCCCCCATTTTGTAGCATTCTTTCTAGCATGAAATATATTTGAAATAGATAATTATAATAACCAACAAACATATTTGTGGAGAATCATGTTCTTTATACCAAATCTTGTACGGCCAGTTTCTGAATTTTTAACAAAAAAATATGCAAAGTATAATAGATTTTTTGTGCACCGGAGGTTATGACACTTTTTTTAAAGAGACATAAACTTTTGTACGAGTGACTTAAATAAAATGAGACATTATTGTATTCAAATTCACATGTAGCGACTAATGATAAGTAGTACAATATATTCACATTATATTCGATATATTTGTCATTGTGCCAGAAACTTTTTTTTTAAAGAGACATACACTTTGTACGAGTAACTTAACAAATAAGATATTATTGTATTCAAATTAATATGTAGCGACTAATTATAAGTAGAACAATATATTCACATTATATTTGATATATTTGTCATTGTGCCAGAGGTTGTGAAACTTTTTTAAAGAGACATAAACTGTTGTACGAGAAACTTAAAAAGAATGAGATATTTTTGTACTCAAATTAATATATTGCGACTAATGATAAGTAAAACATTACATTCCATATTTTTAAACTAATTTTAGTGTTATGATTATCGATGATTTCGCAATAACTAAAGAAAAATGCAACCTGTTGTCTGTAAAGATGCTGCTGCTTGTATTCCACTTTCAGCATGTTCAGTTTGTGAAGTAACTTTGTCCCCTGCAAAAATAAGTAGTTGGGCTTGTTGAATAGTTTTTAACAGTTGACCACGATCTAGTTAAGATGAGCATTATGATTTTTTCTCTCTCAACTATTCATACAAAATTTTCAGAAATATCATTCTATTGTAACGGATTTCGATTTATTTAATTTTATAAAAGATGATTTTATGATTCCGCGTGCAAAATCTTCTTTGCATGAGAGAAAAAAAATGGCAAAAAAACTTATTTTACAAAATACTATATTTCAAAGCGGTGTATTACATAAAATATAGTGTAAGTCAAATCTTTGTAAATATTCGATATATTTGTCATTGTGTCTAGAATTATCGACAACGTTAATCCAGTGACGATTCAAGAAAGAAAATATCATTTAGTTGATGATGTGACTTCTAAATATCCGTTTAAAAAAGTAATATACTTTATTGTCACCGTCTACAGACATTCATCTAGTAGGTCAATACCTTCCAAACCAGAACATTTAAATTGGTACATATGAATGTCACATGACATCCATTTTGCAAAGGTTTATGTTGTTCGATATCAGACTATAATAGATGCGCCCTAAAGTTATGTTACAGGTTAAAGTAAAGTTCCTGACACTTAATATAGTCAATTCATGAAATGAGATGATAAATAAGCTCAATAAAGGAGACAGACTAAGATTACCATCTTTTTTAATTTTGATTTTTGTCAGATTTGTATTGCTTTCGAATGATCACTTATTTATTGAGTGAGATAGTCTCATATTTAATACAGGTAAATGCTATCAATTTGATTATCTGTTAAATTTGATGATAACTTATTATTTAGAAGCTTCTAAATAATATTTCAAACGCAATTATAACTTGTGCACAGAACTGAAGAATTTCAGTGCTTTATTGACTCAAAGATGATGTTTAGAAGGGAACTGGCAAATTAAAAAGCATTATAATCTAAAAGATGCTCTGCGAATAGATACAAATAAAAACAGTACATTTGTATGTTACCGAAAAAATGCTATTTATCCTTCGAAAACAGAACATGCTACCGTTATAAAATAATAAAGCAACCTGTTTTTGTAAAGCTTCTGTTCCTGACATGTTCTTATTCTGAATCGACTGTTTCTCCTTGGAAAAAGACTACGTTACTTTTTTTTACTGTTATTTGAATATCACTTACAATTTTGTGAGGAAAAGTTACCATTCTGGTATTTTGCTTAGCATTTAGCACTCATGTAAGTTATACTCATTTGTAGCGGGAACCGAGTTTTATTTTCAATCACTTTAAATATAACTTAGGTCAGATACGTGTACAAACATTGTGAAGGATATATCTCAAGTAAATGTTAGGTTAAAATGATTCATAACAGATATTGCGGACAATCAAAGTTTTTGCAACTGTAGTGTTATTTTTACCTCAGATGCAAAATGTGAGCATGCCTATTTTTAACAGCTGCAATAAGTTCTAATGTCTAATCATTTGTTTCTCTCCGACTATTTTTGTCTTGTTCAGAGAACACGTTTTTAAAAAAATATTTTTGAAGAGAACGACACTAAAGCGTCACTTCGGCACTTTTATACTTTCGATCAAATAAACCTAATTCTGAATGAGTTAATCGTTTATTCATACATGGGTTTTAGCTATAGTTAGAACAGACAATTAAGTTACATACATGAACATTCTCAATTTTGAAAGTGCGTGTTGGTAGATTTTATATGGCACAAGATTTAGAATTCAATTCTTCCAACTTCATTTCTTTGTGTGAAATGGAGCTCGCATGGTGTTCTATTAAATGTGACTTTTAAAGTGCAATTAATATGAGATACCCTAAGATTGATCAAATACTCAGCAATATATGTAGCCTGAAACCGTTCACCTGGTCTTCATCACACTCTAGCACGCCTATATGTAAAGTCTAGGCAGAACCTGGACTCATCAGTGGATAGAACGTGTCTCAAGTGTTACATGATCCACCGTGTATGCTCTATGGTCCAATCAAAATGGGCCAGGTGATGTCGAAGCGTCAAGAGGATACAAGCGTCAAGGTATTTTCGATCGTAAATTACTTTCATGCAGCAGTCTACGTACCGTTTGCGTGGAAACACGGACCGCCGTAACATAAGGATGGTCATTTTGAAGAGAAGTTGCTGTCGAAAACCTTGCACGACGTCCCTGAACGACCAAAAATCGGTCATGAGCTGGTTTTGTGACCCTATGCCGACAGCATTCCTCCTGGCTGGTGGGTGTACCATGTAACCGATTTCTGTTGAGGCTCTGGTGATGCCAGTGTGGTGAACACTAAGCACTGCACCAGCCTGGCGGAAGATGGCCTTCTGCTTCACCATCCCTACAGCCTTCCATAACTCTGCTTCTCTCAAATGCCGCCTAATGTTAGCATTCTTTTTATTATCGAAGTGACATATGTAAGAAATGTAAGCAATTGAATGACAATAAGCCGGTAATGATGCAGTATAAAAAAGACATGTGATTATATACCCGATCAAAAACATGAAAATATTGGGTCGCATGCTTTCCATGCTACCTAGACTAATTGTAACGGATTAGTCAACAAGGATTCATGTATTTACTAAGCAGACTATCTTAAAACATTTTTTAATCAGAATTTTCAAACATTGGGAACAAATCTGTTTTATAATTGTGATAAT